AAAGTTTGCCTACTTCTGATTAGTCTATCAAAATAGGGATACCAATTAGATATACACTTAGAACCAGAATTGCTGAGTTATAGAAGACACTACTAAATAGTTTTCCAAAGTTCTACCCTTTTACCTGCAGTTTTTCTATTATTATGACACTGCATTTTCATCTTGTTTGTGGCATCAATGACTTACTGTTGCAATATGTTACTTTTACTTCTTTCTTGATAAGTCTAGAACCTTAGAGCTAGCTATTTTTATAATCCAGTCTTCTATGGAATAAAGTGTAATATGTCTCATATAAACCTCCAAAGAAATTATCGGTATTTGTGCATGATTAATAATTCATATATGTATTTTTTATTCATTTCATGCTTTTGTGAATGTCCATGTTTCTGTCAGGATCTCTTTTTTTCTGCCCAAGCAACTCTATTGTTTCTCACAATTAATACTTGATAAAAATAAACTGTCTCACTATTTACTTGTTTGGAAACTTTTATTTTTGGAAGAAACATTTGATTATATGAGACTCTACGTTGATAGTTATCTGTAATCCATTCTTCCTTAAAATGTCATCACATTTTCCTTTGGCTTCCTTTGCTTCTGTTGAGGAATCTACTTATGGTTACTCTTTGTAGGTAATATTTCTGTTTTCTCTAGCTGCTCTGATTTTGACTTTGCATTTAATTTTCAGCACTTGGGTCATGCCTAGTTATTTTATTTTTTAATTTAATTTAATTTAATTTAAAATTTAATTTAATTTAATTTAATTTAATTTAATTTAATTTAATTGTTTGTATTTAAATTCCAGTTAGTTAACATACAGTGTAATATTAGTTTCAGGTGTACAGTTTAGTGATTCTACACTTTCATACAACACCCTGTGCTCATCACAAGTGCACTCCTTAATCCCCATCACCTATTTCCCTCACCTCTCTCCCCACCCACCTCCCCTCTGGTAACCACCATTATATTCTCTATAGTTAAGAGTCTGTTTCTTGGTTAGCTTCTCTCTCTTTTTTTTCCCTTTGTTCATTTGTTTTGTGTCTTAAATTCCACATATGAGTGAAATCACATGGTATTTGTCTTTCCAGAGACTTATTTCGTTTAGCATTATACTCTCTAGCTCCATCCATGTTGTTGCGAATGGCAAGATTTCATGCCTTTTTATGGCTTAGTAATATAAATTATATATATACCACATCTTCTTTATCCACTCATCAGTCAATGGACACTTGGGCTGTTTCCATAATTTGGCTATTGTGGCTAATGCTGCTATAAACATCAGGATGCATGTATTCCTTTGAATTAGTATTTTTATATTCTTTGGGTAAATGCCAATAGTGCAATTGCTGGGTCATAGGGTAGTTCTATTTTTAACTTTTTGAGGAAAGTCCATACTGTTTTCCAGAGTGGTTGCATCAGTTTTCATTCCCACAACAGTGTAGGAGGGTTCCCCTTTCTCCACATCCTCACCAACATCTGTTGTTTCTTGTGTTGTTGATTTTAGCCATTCTGAATGGTGTGAGGTGATATCTCATAGTTTTGATTTGTATTTCCCTGATGATGAGTAATATTGAGCATCTTTTCATGTGTCTGCTAACCATCTGTATGTCTTCTTTGGACAAATGTCTATTCATGTTTCTGCCCATTTTTTAATTGGATTGTTCATATTTTGGGTGTTGAGTTTGATAAATTTTTTTATATATTTTGGATACTAAACCTATATTCTCCCATTCTGTAAGTTGCCTTTTAGTTTTGTTGATGGTTTCCTTCACTGTGCAGAAGCTTTTTATCTTGATAAAGTCCCAATAGTTCATTTTTGTTTTTGTTTCCTTTGCCTCAGGAGATATATCTATAAAAATGCTACTATGGCTTATGGGTAATTTTAAAGATTTTATTTATTTATTTGACAGAGAGAGAGAGACAGCGAGAGAGGGAACACAAGCAAGGGGAGTGGGAGAGGGAGAAGCAGCCTTCCTGCTCACTGAGCAAGGAGCCTGATGCGGGGCTTGATCCCAGGATCCTCGGATCATGACCTGAGCCAAAGGCAGATGCTTAATTAACTTAGCCAACCAGGAGCCCAGGCTTATATGTAATTTTAATTGTACTTCTTCTTGGCAGTGCCGTTTTTAGAATATGTGGTTTGGTGCCTTTCATCAGTTTTGGAAAAGTGTGGACTATTTTCTCTTCAAAAATGGCTTCTGCTTTATTCTTTCCTTTCTTGCTGAATTCCAATTACATTTCTTACTGTTTCATGAGGTCTGATGTGCCCTTTATACTCTTTTTACTATTTTACATTCTAAGTATTCTATTTTTACTTCAGTAGTATAGCTTTTATCAATCTTTCTTTAAGTTTACTAGTTCAGATTTCCTGTAGCTAGTCTATTGAGTTCTTAACTACATTGTTCATTTGCTCTCTTTTTAAGATCTAGAATTTAAAATAGATTCTTTGGTGAATTTCTCCAGTTTTAACACCTATTTTCAATTTTTCATTAAGTTTCTTATATGAATTAATCATGACTATGTTTAAATTTCCAGTTTCCAAATCCAATATATGACTCACCTTTTGGTCTCCTTATATTGTCAATTGTTTCTTTTGTATTCTTTCAGATGGTTCCACAAACTCAATGTTTTGTATAAACATTGTAGAGGATCCAGTATTTCTGTATTTCATCACAGAGATTTTGTTTTTGTTTTTGTTTTGGTCCTAGGTTATTCAAAAGGTTCTGATTGCCTTAATCCCAACAAAGGCTCACATAAAATTAGGTTCCTAGAATTTTGTAATTTTGATAAGGGCCTGTCTACCTGTTTTCTTTTAGGCGATAGGAGTACTCCTTTGGATCTTCCAATTCAGGGCACTTCCTGGCAATTCCTGAACTTTAATGATTATTTCCTCAACACCTCGATATGAAAAAAAAAGGATTTGATTTTCAAATGTGTTTGCTTGGTATCTTAGGAAATTGACTCTTACAACTTCAGAATTTGGAAAATATCTCATGGAGAAATCTGGCTGTCTGTTAAGCTCAGTGTTCTGCCAGTTCATTTTTATCAGAATCTTGTGTCTCCAATTCTGTTTTGCCAACCCTGAAAAAAGAAAAAAATAACACCCAAAACTCCGGTTGTTAATCTTTTCCTCAGCAAGCTCTTGTTTGCTCTGCTCCTAGAATCAAGGACTGCAGAATTTCACTAAATTTTCTACAGTTGTCTTATCTTTAGAATCTTGGTCCTTTTATTCTTAGTTTTGTTTTTGTTTTTGTTTTTTTTTAATTAGCTTTTCATTGTATTTTATGCTTTTAGTTTGAGTTTCCCGAGTAAAACAACTGCTTCAAAGGTGGAAAATAAATTTAATTCTGGGGAAATTTAATATGTATAACATATATATTTGATAAAGTCCAGACCCCCTAAGTAAAAAATGAAATAAGCTAATATTAATTTGATACTGAGAAAACATCTCATGGTTTTCATAAATCTATTTTGAATCATAAACTATATATGTATCTTTTCTAAATACTTAGTATAAATTGGTATACTTTGAAATATTTTTCAGACATCATGTAGGTAAGACAGAATGTCATTGTTAGTGCTGATATTTTAAATTTGATAATGCCCATATTCATTCTCTGGGCAAAATATTAAAAAAAAATTGAGAAACATTTAGCAGAAGCAAAACTTTAGCTCATGTAATCCAACCATAGATGTTGCAAAAACACAAAACATACAAATACACACAGTTTTAATGTTCATTTTTTTACAAGTTTTAATGTTCTGATATGAAATACAACTATTGTATTTTTTTATTTATTTTTTTTAAAGATTTTATTTATTTGTTGGAGAGAGAAAGAATGAGAGACAGCACGAGAGGGAGGAGGGTCGGAGGGAGAAGCAGACTCCCCGCTGAGCAGGGAGCCCGATGCGGGACTCGATCCCGGGACTCCAGGATCATGACCTGAGCCGAAGGCAGTCGCTTAACCAACTGAGCCACCCAGGCGCCCGAAATACAACTATTGTAGATACTGGCCATTTTTAAAGCTTAGATTAAGACATAAACCAACAGAGATGATAAAAGATTATAGAGATGCATATAAAAACAGATTTCTTATGAATACTTGGAAAAAAGTGGTATTTTTACTCCTCAATTTTAGTCACATAAAGACCACAAAAGAGTGCTCTGAGGGTGCCTGGGAGGCTTGGTCAGTTAAGCGTCTACCTTCTGCTGGAGTCATGATCCCAGAGTCCTGGGATTGAGCTCTGCACTGGGCTCCCTGCTCAGTGGGGAGTCTGCTTCTCCCTTTGCCCCTCACTCTGCTCTTGTGCTCTCTTTCTCAAATAAATAAATAAAATCATACAAAAAAACTCTGGCTCTCTCCTGCTCTCTTTCACCATACTCCCACACCCATCTGCATACACATGTGAATAATCACACCCCAGTAGACAAACATACAAACTAAACTGATGGAGATAATTTAGTATAAATGTAACAAAGCAATATTTACAATTAAATAAAGTTTATTTAATAATACATATGCTTTTTAAAGATTTGTTTATTTGAGAGAGAAAGAGAGAGTGTGCCATGTAGTGGGGAGGGGCAGAGGGAGAGGGTCTCAAGTAGACTCCCTGCTGAGCATGGAGTCCATCATGGGGCTCCATCTCACAACCCTGAGATCATGACCTGAGCTGCAACCAAGATTCCAATACTTAACCGACTGTGCCATCCAGGCGCCCTTAATACATATGTTTTAAGGTAAAATTGATAATACAACTTAATTAAATTTTATGTCATGTTATAAAGGTAATACCATATCAAAGGAAAAACTTTCCTATAAACTACGATACAATCTGATCGGTAATAATGAATCAAAATGGGCATGCTGAATTTCCTTTATTTACCTCAGATAGTTTGATACAAAGTCAGTATTTTTGAAGACATTTAAAAATTTTTCATGTGAAGGAAACTTGGAGAGAATGAAAGTAAAACAGGGTTATGTAGTCAATAGACTAAAAGTTCCTCAGTAAAAGCCATAAGACCAGTATTTTCCATGGCACAATGGGCAGCAGCAGCCATAACCGTGGCCACCATAGCCACAGCCATAGCCATAGCCCAGGCCACCATAGCCATAGCCCCGGCCACCATAGTCATAGCCCAGGCCACCATAGCCATAGCCCTGGCCACCATAGTCATAGCCCTGGCCACCAGAGCCATAGCCCAGGCCACCATAATAGTTGCTGTAGTAACACATGGTATCAGGAATGGAAAGTTCAGTTGAGGAGCAAGAGGTAGGTATCTTTAATATGAATGCCACCATCTGCCAAGGGCCTTTTATACACCCTCAGTGGTGGGTGGGGAAAACCACAGGCAGTGTAGCGTCCTATATCTCACTAATTTGCTTCAGACAACATCATGAATATTTTTATTTATTGGCAAAACAGGGTCCTCATAACTGAGATAATTTTACTCCCATATCAGAACTCCACCGTTTATGGGCCTTTAAAATGAATCTCTTATTCTGTTTTCAAGGCTATGTCTCACTTTATATTTATTTAGTTGAAAAAATATGACTTGATTACATAGCATGATCCAAACATGAAAATAGGTATCCCATTGTTTGGTTTTGTGTCCATTCTTCTTTAAGAAGAATTTTAAAATGAGCCTTGTGTGGAGGAACATGTTTCCTGAATCTTGCATGTAAAGGGTAGATATAATATATATTCATATAGTCTTACAAAAAACACTTCCTTCCAATTCAATATGACTGCTTATTGGTTATGTTACTGGTAATATGGTGGCAAGTACTTTCATATATGGACATATTGGCATTTATTTATCAACCTTTCCTCTAGTAGGTGCAACTTTGATCTTTCCAGAAAATGTGTGACCATTTTATGGGCAGAAATGGTCTATGCCTTATGCTTCCTTGTGTCATCAGATAGGAAGGTGTTGTAGATGTATCTGCAAACCATATGGAGGTTAAGCTTGATCCTCCATCCTCAACTCATGTTTTTTTTATCATGGCTCATTTCTGTTCTTCCAGATGCCCCAGATTTGCAGTAGTGAGAGGTGTCCTAAACAATGTGTGGATATTATCAGAGAGGTGAAGAGAGCCCAGCATTCATTCTTCATTCCCTCAGTTTTCAGCTGATTGGCGAAGTGTTGGTGGAGATAGAAATCCCCAATCATGGAAAGACTAATTGAGCACACAGCAGAGACTATGCTCTAAGTTTTTTCTTTCTTTCTATGTCTTTTTTTAATTTCAAATTTTTAATGAAAATTGAAATATTGAATTTAATTAAAACATACTTTACATAAAACAAATTTATTTCTATTTAAGAGGATGGGTTTTTTCCACTGTCCAAAAGTACAATGTTCCTAGGAATCCTTTCCTAAATTGAAATGGCATAAAGCAAAGAAATAATTACCATTAATTTAAATGAAAAAATTCTTGAACATTCCCAGGCTCAAAAAAAAAAAACAAAAAAACCGTTCTTAGGCATTTCTAATACTTTAGGACACATTTTGCTAACAGATGCACGAAATAAATTCAGATAGCATGGATGCTCACAGACAGAGTTCAGAGCTCTGGAGGTGAGGCTGAGATGCTGAGCAGAGGTCTTGGGAGAGGAGGTGGGGGCACCACTCTCATAGTTCCGGGGGCTGTTCGTATCTGTAATGACTCACTGCAAAAACAATGATGAATGCTATTTTCACTTTTTGTCCTTTTTTTTTTGCAAAAGCAAAAACCCCTTTCAGATTTCTTTTGGTTAGAGAAAACAGGTACAAATGTAGGGTTTTTTTTTTTTTTTTGTAAAAACCAAGTGTCATAATGCAAACTTTTAAAAAGCTACCTGTATACCTAAATGAGTTTTGACAAATAGATTAATACAAATTATGCATTTTCACTCTAAATATAGCTATTGGGAGATTTTGTAAGGTGGGGGAGAAGCTTCCTGACTTTATAGCTACCAAACTGAAATTTTCTCTGACCCCACAAACACTGCTTCGAACATTGGGAGTAGTGATAGGTATATAGATGGGATGAACAACCCTGCTTTCCCTCAGGCTTCTAATTTAGATTATATGAAACTTCACAGAAAAATTCACATAGATTTTTCAGCCTCCCATCCAAGTACTAACCAGGCCTGACCCTGCTTAGCTTCCGAGATCAGACAAGATCGGGTGCCTTCAGGGTGGTATGGCCGTATTCCAACCACTCCATTGTTATTTATCTGTTGCTAACCATTGGCCAGCCATTTTTAAGACATTGTGTTTATGTGACAGTGTTATTGTTCTTGTGTTTCCTCATATCACTGACCTTCTCATTCACAGCATGAGATGTCGGAAGTGGTAAAAGGACATTAGAGAAACTTCCAGCATTGTAAAGAAAAATAAATAAAATAAATTTGCTTTCTTCTGAAATTGGAAAACAAATCATCATTTTTCTTCATTGGGTGAAGACTTTCTACACAATCTCTTTACATCATTAAGGTAAATGTTCAAGTATCAAAATGATGCTTGGCATCTATGGAATCAAGCTGAATTTTGTTGTTAGGTTTCACTTTTCAAATGGGATGATGGCCAAACTTTTTTTTTTCTGAGCAAAATGTAGCAATTTCTTGAAAATAAAGTAGAAAGTTCACTTAATCAAAATGATCTTTGCTTGACTGATAATGGATTCCATAAACCTCTGTGGTCTCTTTACCATTTCCCAATGTCATGAGATTTCTTAAGAAAAAGAAAATAGAAGTGGGCACATTCATTTTGGAGATTTTAAGTATGGGCCTAAATGAAGTAACTGAGTGCACTGAAGACCATCGTGGTGAGATGGTGAGGTGGTGAGCAGTGAGCAGGTCCTTCCTGGAGGATTTGGACATCAAACCTCAGGCAGTCAGCAGCCTCCAGGCAGGGAATGGTTCGTGAACTATTTTGTGGATGACATGCCCAATGTAGGTAGAAGCCTGTGAGGTGTGAGGACCAAGTGATCTCTTTTTTGAAGCACAGTTTGAAGTAATTCAGCTAAAATTTAGGGCATCAAGAAATGGACAAAGGCAGGGGTTGTTAAATGTAGTGATAGGGAAAAGGACTATTTTGGTGGGCAAAAGCGTCTTTTAAAAATTTGGCCTAGAAAAACAATTTGGTAGTCTGAGCAGATGTAGTAGTAGCTGCTAAATCACATGGAAGCCTGGGTTATGTATGTTCCAAGACAAAAAGAACGGACATTCAAATCCTTGAATTTGTAGATACAGCAAAACTTCAGAGAGAGCCCAAGACAGTCTGTTCTCTCACCTCTGTTTCTGCCTCATTTTCTCTGTTTCTCTCTCATTTTTTTCTCTCTCTCTCCTTCTATTCCTTTCTCTCACATGCATACACACACACATAAACAGAAAAAAGCAAAAATGATGGAACTATTAACGTAAATGCAATGCAACAATATTTGCAGGGATAGGTCGGTGTTAAATATGAATTTTATCTCTCATGAATGATATGAACAAGAATAATGCTAAAACAGCATAAAAGGTAAAATTTTTCTATAAATGTAAACCATCCCACTGGTTTTAGCCAATCAAAATGGGCGTGCTGAATTGGAATTACTTCTTTCCCCCCAATACTCAGGAATGAAGTTGGCATTTCTGATGTGAGTATGAATGTTCGGTTAGGACATGAGAAGAGGAGTCCAATAGGTGGAATTGCAATCTTATTTATTTTATTTAGATTATTTTTTAAAGATTTTATTTATTTATTTGACAGAGAGAGAAAGAGAAAGAGAGAGCAACAGCAGAGGGAGTGGCAGGCAGAGCAGGCAGAGGGAGAAGCAGGCTCTCTGCTGAGCAAGGAGCCCGATGCAGGGCTTGATCCCAGGACTGTGGGATCATGACCTGATCTGAAGGCAGATGCTTTACCAACTGAGCCACCCAGGCACCCCACAATCTATTTTATTTAAAGATAGTTTAGCTTGGTGATATGTTGGCTAAACAAAATGATCAATATGTACATCATGTCTATCATGGTTATAGGAGGATTGGGCAAAAGAAAAGGGTTGCTGAGCCTAAGTGTTCCTCAGCTGCAGCATGCAGGTTCCCTAAGGCTGTAACATCATACACAATGTCATCATTTGGGCAATTAAGAACCTGGAGATGGGTATGTGTATATATGGTCATAGCTCCAATTTCTCTCATGTTCCCAATCAAAACTTCATAGAACTCATTAAAAATTATTATATGGTTGGGGTGCCTGGGTGGCTCCATCTGTTGAGTGTCCAACTCTTGGTTTCAGCTCAGGTCATGATCTCACAGTGTTGAGATCAAGCCCCAAGTTGGGCTCCATGCTCAGAGGGGAGTCGGCTTGAGATTCTCTCTCTCCCTCTGCCCCTCCCCCTGTTGATGCTTTCGCTCTCTCTAAAATAAATAAATAAATATTTAAAAATTAAAAAATTATTACATAGTTTGCTATGTCCCATCATTTAAGCTAGCAACATTCCATCATTTAGGCAATATTTATTGAGGGCCCACTATGTGCCAGACCCTTAAAGCAATGGATTGATATTACTTCTATTATTGTGATTATGACTTCTGCTATGATCTTCCACCCTTATGTATAGCATTAAGTTGTGGCAATATTGCAAAGTCATTTGAAAATATTAATCACCCAAAGCAATATTTTTTTTTTGATGATAGACGTGCATACCAAAATCCTTAATTAATTAATTAATTATTATTATTATGTTATGTTAATCACCATACATTACATCATTAATTTTTGATGTAGTGTTCCATGATTCATTGTCTGCGCACAACACCCAGTGCTCCATACAGTACGTGCCCTCTTTAATACCCATCACCAGGCTAACTCATCCCCCCTTCCCCCTCCCCTCTAGAACTTTCAGTTTGTTTCTCAGAGTCCATAGTCTCTCATGGTTTATCTCCCCCTCCGATTTCCCCCCTTCATTCTTCCCCTCCTGCTATCTTCTTTTTTCTTTTCCCCAAAGCAGTATTAATTTGATTTATTTTAACACACACACACACACAAATGATGAAGAGAAACCAATATAAATGCAACAAGTACTTTCAATGAGATAAATGTTTATTAAAATTAAACTTTTCTCATACAAGATTGTTGATCAAAAAGGTAAGAAATTTGAAGGCAATACAATATCAAAAGAAAAACTTTTTAAAAATTGTGAAACATTCCATATGATTTTAGTGACTCTAGTAAGGTTTGCAGATTCTGACCTATTTTATTTTATCTTTTTAGATATCTTAGGATGATGTTGACATTTTGGAATAGAAAATGCAATTATTCATAGGAAGAATCATGGAGGCAAATTCAGGCAGCTGGAGGAGAATAGTAAGTTGAGTTTCTCTGGAAGCTTCTCAGTAGAACCCGTAGGACCAGCATCTTCTGCAGCAAGATGGGCGGTTGCAGCCATATCCATAACCACCACAGGCATAGCCCACACCATTGTGGCCACATCCATAGCCACCATAGCCACAGCCTAGGCCACTGTAGCCACATCCATAGCCACCATAGCCACAGCCTAGCCCACTGTAGCCACATCCATAGCCACCATAGCCACAGCCTAGGCCACTGTAGCCACATCCATAGCCACCATAGCCACAGCCACCATAGCCACAGCCTAGGCCACCATAGTAGTTTCCATAGTAAGACATGGTTTCAGGAGTGGAGGGTTTTGCTGAGGAGCAAGGAATCAGTTTCTGTCAGTTTGAACATCACCATCTGCACAGGTCCTTTTATATGTACCCTCAGTGGGTGGGACACATCACAGGACTTGTTGACCACATATTTCCTACTAATTTACATCAGTACACTTCCTGAGTCTTTGTTTCATTAGGCAAGGTGAGGCTCTCATGAGCAGGATGACTTGGCTGTTGAGTCATCTTCCCTACATTCAAATCACATGCCTTTCTTGTGTTTTTCTTATTTTCTTTTTCAAGACCTTACTCAGCTTTTGCTTATTTTGCTTAAAAATATTTGAACCAATTTTTATCTAGTTTAATAATTGACTAGGTTCTAAAATGTTGATTTTTTAAATTCTATCATTTCTTCTAATATATTATGTGAGGGTCTTCCATAAAGTGAAAAATAACTTTCTTAACAATAGAGCTTATTCAGTAGAGTTAGGTAAGCTTTTCATGTTTATTATTTACTTTCATAAGTAAATCTCATGTGGGCATAAAAATATATGGAGTTGTATTTTGAAGCTTTATAAACACATCCTCGGGATTTAATATCTGTCAGTATACCACTATCAGTTCCTTCTCTCCTTGTATACTTTCTGTAGTTATTAAATATTTTTAAAACAAATCTAAGGCAATTAGTATTTTTCTTATAAGTACTTCAGTGTGTATGTCCATCACAAAATGAGCTTTTAAAAGACATATATAACTATACCATTATCACACAGATGAAATTTTTTAAAAAATTCCTTTGCATTCCCTAAAACTTAATTCATGCTCAGATTTTCTCAATTGGTTCACAAATATGTTTTTATAGTTATTTTTTCACATTGGGACTCACATTTAGGCATAATGTCTCTTAACTCTTTTTAAAGATATAATAGTTTTTTTCCAATCTTTTTCTTCATGTGTTTGGTTTTTTTAACAAAATCATATTATTGTCCTGTAGAATTCTTAAATTTTGGATGTGGCTGATGTCTTCCTTAATTTTTCTTTTCTTATGTTCCTCTTTCCCTTATACCATCTCTATCCTGGTAGGTAGCTGTAGAGGGTTGAAGTGATTCTTCTTATTTTTTGACAAGAAAAATACTATATAGATGCTTTGTATTCTTTCTTTTCTATAATATTAGGAGGCACATGATGTCTGGTTGTCCCATTGCTTCACATTTAGTAATGTTGGGATTAATTGAGTTCATGATATAATCTTCCCCAACAATTTTTATCTATTAATTTTTGCACTTGATGATAGTTATATAGACCCATTACTGCTAGAAGTTCTATTATGTTGATTTTAAACATTCTGTCATTACATCTCAGACCACCATAACTATAGTCATGGCCACCACGATAGTAACATATGTGTTAGTAGTGCAAGGTTCAATTGAGGATCATGAAATAAGTTTCCTGAGTTTGAATGTCACCATTTGCATAGGACCTTTTATATAAATAGTAGGTATGGCAAACCACAGACAATGTTGACCTCATATTTCAGACTAATTTGCAATAAAGCTCCCTATGAATCTTTATTTCTTTCATTTATGTGAAGTGCATTCCTTAAGCCATGACTATTTATTTATAATGCCTGGTTTTTCACAATCTATTCACTTTCCTTGAATAATAGGGTTCTATTCTATTGTAGCAGGTTTGTTCACTCTGTGAACTATATAAAAATATATTTAATGTCTTGGATCAGACTCCATGTAATTCCATGAGCATATAAGACCTTATTTTTTTTTCCTATTTTTTATTTGAAGAATATTAACATCTACTACATAATCATATATGAGGTGGGCGGTTAGAAGAGGAAAGTTACTTGGAGACACATGTCTATAAATTTTATGAATTATCTTTACTAGAGCAAAAGATTTTTCATCCCTAGGTAGTGTTTCTCACTGATGAATGATGATGAGTAATTGACTAACTACAAGTACATTTCTATCCTATTATAAAGACACCTCTTTTTTCATTGATATTTACATTAATTTTTAATATATGTGTTTGAGTATATTTGTGAAGTTGACCACTTACCTACACAACTTAGCATTTTTCTTATATTCCTTTCCATTAATGCATGATGGCTCCACAGTTAGAGAGTCTGTTATCTATTATTGGAAACTGATGGCATTTTATGCATTCCTCTGTCACTATGTGATCAAGTACCACTGATATAGATAGGAGAAATGAGGAGGCTTAGTTCACCGGTTCTGGTGGAACTGTGTTCTATTTTATCTTTCTTCCTTACCACTGCTAGTTCCCCAGGGTTTCTTTTGTTTATTATATTTTGGTGGGGAGCTTCAGAGAATTGGTTAGCTGAATAGTGGCAGGAGACACATGTATTATAGGACAGATGTGGTTGTGCTTGGGAATCAAATGGGTGTAGTTCATGGTGCATGTAGAGAAAATTTCCTTGTCTATAGGAGACCATGCTATAGGTTTTCATTTTTAATGAACATTTAGTTTTCATAACTGAACTGGGTTTTTTTAAACCAACATTGGCTGGATCCAAGTGTGAATCATAAAGGGAACTGGTATGTATCCAACTAGCTGAAAACTACTGAAGCAATATATGCACACAATATCACTCAAGAAAGGTATAATATATGAACATATAAGAGAATTGATGGTGTTTTTCCAATTATGTATAAAAAAGTAATTTTGTCCTATTTTAGTAGACAATTTTAAACACACAGTTGTCTAATTCTTTCATCAGAATCACCAGAGGATTTGATATCATGTACTTGTCTTCCAGGTACTCCTGGACATAGGTAAAGGATAGTGAAATACAAACCCTTTACTTTTCATTGCTACAAAATTCATCTTCCCCTCTGAGCTTAACAGGAGAAGAGTTTGAACAGTATCAATTGGACAAAATAAAGTCATTGAGGCTCTGGAGGCTCAAAATAGAATCATTTATCTGGAGGAGATGTGTATACATCTGAATAGCCATGCATTTTCACATGCTATTAATTTTTATAGTAAGCTCCTAATTTGAAAACATTTTAAAAGTTACATAAAATATTGACAAAAGATTATCAACCTTGTTCATTCATTACTTTATTTTCCATTTATTCATTAAAAAAACTCAAATTTGTAGTACTTCCAGGCACTGTCTTGGGTGCTGGAACCTTGTGAATTCTATCAGTGGCATTGTTTTCTTAGTGTAATTTAATTTTTCTCTCAAAACATAGGCTGTGGTATTTTTAAAAAGCCAAGAAAATTCCATTACATGAGATGGATGCATAGATTAAAATATTTTACCTACTGAGAAAAATGAGAAATAACTTCTAATACTATATAGCAAACCATAAATGTCATTTAATCTTGTGATCCAGTTTTAAAAATTAATTAATATAAATTTGAAATTCCTAAAGAATTGTTTGGCCATCTATGTTATTCTTAGGGAATAATATCTGCAACCCATAACATGTTGCTATTTCATATTGATAAAATGGCTATGCCTTCTTCAATCATTTGGGGAAAAGTTTATAGTTTCAAACAAAGATCAAAATGACACAAAACATTAAGTCAAAATAAGTCTTCAATACACTGATGTTGAAATTCCATTCTTCTAACTTTTTTTCTGATAAGGTCTGATGGAAAGTTGTATTTAATATAAAAATAAATTTTGATATCTTCAAAACAGAAATTGGAAATATGAAGTTCAAAAATCACTGTTCCATGAAAGCACTGATTTAATTTCTTATGCCTGATGTGCTGATGTGGTAATGGGGTGGCACTTTCTAGAAATTCTTAAAGACAAAGATGATATACACATCCACTCTGTGGGCTACTATTAGATATGGGATATGGAGGGTCACTTAAAGGATGTGAAGTGGAACATCCAAGTACAACCAGCAGGAAGTACAGTTCAAAATACACAAATGTGGGGTGTAAGGAAATAGCCCAAGACAGAGGTGTGTAGAATAAGGTGACTGGAAATAGGAATGTCATTGTGGGATTTTTATCCGTTAATTAAAAACTCAGCATATGGGCTAATGTTTAAATATAATCAGGTGTTTGCTGTGATTACGGTTTTATCAAAAACAAATTTCATTTAGAAATAATTTATTCTTAGGCTTTAATTTTTTAGCATATTAAGAAAGGCAATGTTTGTCATAAAAATACACACACGTACATGCAACAGATGTAATAAAAGTGATGTAAACAAGTATTTTCAATACACCAGATTTTATTGAAAATTAAAATAAATTTTTTTTCACAGAAAGAATGTTGAACTAAAATGTATGCAGAGCATAATTGTAATGCAGTAACAAGAGAAGTTTCTTTTATAAAGCAAGACATTCCAGATGATTTTATTCAACTGAGCTGATGGATATAGAATTGCAACTATTCTCTCCTTCCCCAGTATTCTAGAATGAGACAATCACTATTTCATAAAGAGAAGAACTCAGAAAGTAGATTCAGGAAACACAAGAAGAAGAGTCTTGGAGTACCTCTCAAAGTTTTTCAGTAAAATCCGTAGGACTAGTATCTCTACAGGAAGATGGGCAGCAGCAGCCATATCCATACCCACCAGACCCACAGCCAGACCCACAGCCAAACACACAGCCCAGGCCACCAGAGTAGTTGCCCTGGTAGTACCCGGTGGCAGGAATGAGAGGTACCATTGATAATTGGAACAAGCGTCTTCAGTCGAAATGTCTACCATCTTCTCAGGGCTTTAATTTATCTTCGGTGGGGGGTAGGACAAACCACAGAAAGTACGGAACTCATAATTCACACCAATTTATGCCAGAAAAATTCCTTAAGCTCATGCTTTTTCTTTTAGGCAAAGAGACTCTCATGGGCTAGATTTTTTTTTTTTTTTCTTTCAGGTCAGAATTCTCACAATCAAACCATATGAGTCTAATAATAAATAATTGCTGTTATTTTCAAATCTGCATCAAACTAGACTAGTTAGTGAAATTTCTTTGACCAGATTTTGTAGGATTTCTAAAGAATGCTGATTCCTC